AATCATGTTAAACATTTTTAATTATAATATATATGTATGAAGAAGCCTTCTCAGCAAAATACTATTTATAAGATCTGCAATCCTTTAAATCAAGAAAAGGGAGATATGGAGGGAAATAAGACTTTTATGTAAACAAAATATTCCAAAACCTAGAAGGAAGAGAAACGATGGCAGGTCTAAATAACTAATAGATATTTACTCAGTCTGGAAGAGTGAGAGACATAAAGTAAATAAGAGACAGGCCTGAAGATGGAAGTAGTTAGTTCATATAAAAGCTTTAGGTGATATTAAAAGTATTGGAACTTTTTCCTAAAAGCAACAGGAAACTATTGAAAATTTTTTAGTAAGAGTGAGTGAAGGTAAGATTTTTAATTTAGATAAAACTTTGTGTAATGCAAATCTGGACCTCCCCTGAGGTTACTACTTCTGCTGCTTTCTCAAGTAATGGCTTTTGTGTTCTTTTCTATATTTGTTTGCCACAGTCTTTATACTAGCTACTGGCAAAGTAGGATTCTCAGTGCACTCTGTTACTATTTCTATACCCTTCTTCCTTCCTAGGAATCCAGCCTTTATTCTCACCATCTAACTCTGTTACTTACTCACTGTCTCACATTATTGCTGTGATCTCCCAAATCTTTGGTCAATTCCCAACATATCTCAATGAGTTTAGCTCCTGAGTAAAGGTTGCTGTCTCCAACATTTCCCTGTCATAGTTTTTGGCATTTTCATTGCAAAGATGAATCTTCCAATATCCCAAATTCACAATTTCCTCTAATGCTTTGCTTCCACTGGCTTTACCCTCTACTTTACTATGATCACTTAACAACCAGTTATTTTTGCCATTATCAATTACTGAAACCCCTCACTAACCTTCATTTCAAATCGCCCACTCTTTGACCGTAATACTGAATGTGTTCATATAATTCCAGCACTCTTTTGTTCTCAACAGGACCTTTAATCCATTTAGCCTGCTATATTTCCCCTTCCTCTACCCCTCATATTTTATCTTTCTTGCTTATCAGCTTTGTGGTGCATTATCAATTAGTATAAACACTCAATCACATAAAAATTCAACTTCCTTGTCTTTTCTCCCTACATCATACTCACTTGGCAAAACCATAACTCTAGTTAATTAAAACATTCTCCTTTTTCTCATGCTCAATATGACTGCAAAAACATACATAACTGTATAATTGTGTATAAATCCTTCAAGTGAGCTCTCATGTTGTCCTGTAATGACAGTATATTTCCTGGTCCATTCTAGAACTCATCTCTTACAAGAGGTTTATGAAGAATTAATAGGACTTAGAAATCAAACATGTAAATTTACAATCTGTTTTTATAATATTGTGCTTCATAAATATTCCTCTTTTTTTGTTGTACCTAGCAACAAAGATGGATTCCAACAATAGAAATATTTCTTAAACATTTTTATTGATAATCAACACATAAAGAATGAAATTAAGCAATTTTATAATAATGTTTTAATAGTTTTTATTTTGCAATTACTGTTGACATTCAATATTATTTTATATTAGTTTCAATTATACAGCATAGTGGTTAGACATTTGCAAATAGTTCCAAAAATACACATTAGTTTATTATACCAAACATTAAAAAATTCTGCTATAGAAGAACAATTTTATTAATATTTGGTATAATAAATTGTCATGCGTATTTCTGGAACTATTTGTAAAGAGGCTATACTAGAAAAGTAACATAAATGTATCTAGACTACTTAAATATATTTGCTATGAATGATAGAAGAAACCAAGGAATCAGAGATGTTGGATTTCCTTGAAAAATCAAAATTTAAACAGTAAAAGCTTATTCTCCATTTGCATAGTCAAAAATGTGTACATTGTACATAAACCATATATTAACACTTTAAAAGATTAAAAATTTTAAAGACAACTATTAATAGGTAAGTATGAGACAACTATTTTTGGAGTTAAGTATAGTATGACTTTCGTTTTTTTATCAAAATTAGAAATACATAATTTTTATATCTTGAAAATACAGAAGTTTGTTTTCAAAAGTTATTAAAATTGGAAGATCTTTTTGATAAATTGTAAGCTTAATACAAACATATATATACATATGTGTGTGTGTGTGTGTGTGTGTGTGTGTATAGTACAGGATCTTAAATCTTATTTTGTTAATTCAGTCAGAATTTAGCCCCTAAGTTCATTAACAAATTAAAAATCCCCATTTTGGTCTACAGCCATGTTACCCTGAACAAGCCCAATTCTGTCTGATCTTAAAAGCTAAGCAGGATTGGGCCTGGTTAGTACTTGAATGGGAGACCATCTAGGAAGACCAGGTGCTATAGGTGTGAAAAATTTAAAAACAAATTTAAAAAAATTAAAAAACAAGGGATTATAAACTGACAAGGTCCTTGCAATCTGCAAGGTCAACCAAGGGTTGCCTCGGCTAAAAAAATAAACAAACAAACAAACAAACAAATAAATAAAAAATAAAATAAAAATCCATTTTTTGAATAATTAATTTATCTTTCTGGGAAATTACTGTTATTAAGAGGCAAATAATAGGGTTACTTATATCTGCCAGGCCATATTTTGCTTCCAAATAGAGGCTCTAGCACATGAATTGAGTGCATTCCAAAAGTTTACTTGTATATGAGCTTCCAAAACTCAGAACATATTTTTATACAAGAGGAACTTCTGTTAAATCCCTGAACCCATATACAACTAACATTATAGTTTTTCATTGTCCTATAAATAGTAAGAATCTAATAGCTATGTATAATAGATCCCATCTATAATAAATCCATGACAAACAGCATGACAAATGAGTGTTTCTCATGGTAGACTGATGGTGTAATGAAAAAATCTAAAATTTCAGTGGTTTAAACAAACACATTGATTTTTCTCTCACAAGACACAACAGTGAGTGTGTACATAGTCGGGTGATGTTTTTGACAGCTTTTCTATGTGTAAAGATTCAGGGGCTCAATTTGATTTAACTTGTGTTTTTACCCTTTGACTTCTTTATTCAGGTAGAGATTGGGAGAGAAAGGGGAGGTTCACACAGATTTAAGAATACTTATTTCTTCCTTTACACTTACTTTACATTGATCAGTACTATATCACATGGTTCCATCAAATTACAAAGGTTGAGAAATCTATTTTCATTGAGATACCATTCCATGGTTACTATTTGTTTCAGGCCATTTGTTTTTGTCCAGAAATTTAACTTACTTTAATTTAATCTAATTTTATTTGACTCTATTCCATTCCATTCTATTCCATTCCATTCCATTCCATTTCTTGATTCAATGTTGAAAGAAATGAAAAAAGATAAGAAAAGAAAGAGGGGGAGAATAGGAGGAAAAGAAGGAAGCAAGGGAGGGCAGGAGGGAGGAAACAATTTCATAAGTATCATATACATATTTCTAGAGATTTTGGCCATCTATTTATACTACTAAAACAAAATAAACAAATAAAACAAAAATACTTTTATATAACTTCTGTCTCTTTTTTCACTCAGGATGGATAAGAAAAGTTACACAAAAACTGTGATGATTTCATTTCTAATGAAGTAACATTTTTGTGTGAAGACACAATCAAGATTCATCTACATATTTAAGGAAAATTTAAATGTTTACTTCCAGACACCAATACTGAGTTAGAGATGCAGGGTTGTAACAGGCATTGTTAACTATTTGCTCATAGGTGGTAGTTGAACAGATGCCTAGCTTAGTATACACTGTAAAATATAATTATTGGGCTCACACAATGGTTTGAAAAATTTCTAATTAGTTGTAAATATTTCAAATCTGGACCTGTTTCACCACATAGTAATATTCACTAGAGATGAGTTTGTAGTTGACCTCTTTGGACTAGTCACAGACTCACTTTTATTTATCCCTACCATTTCATACTTTAGACTGCTTCACTTATTTAGGTTACTTCTTGTTCCCTGAAGACATTGAGTTTATGACTCCTAATAGAGAATCTGTGAGCAGCTATATCAAAAATACTTGTAAACATAAAATCATCCCCTAGGATAAATTATGGTTAGCTATATAAAGATAAATATACTTAATCTAGAATATTCAATTTATGCTCCTGATGTATATGCATTTATATAATTTTAAGTGTGTCATGTACATGCAGAACAATATATGATTTGAATTTACATTTTTTGTATCTATATTGGGCAATAGTAAAGAGCTCATGTTCTGGATTCAGACAGCCTGTGCTAATCAGGTCCAAGTTATTAAATGTATCTTTGTTTTATCAGTTTTCTTATTTAAAATTGGAATAATAGTCATAACTACCTGATATGATAGTTATTAGAATTAAATGAGTTAAAGCCTGTAGAATATTGAGGAAAAAATTTAAAGTGTATGTTGTAAGCAGAGAATAAATGCTTTTAGTTTTCTTCATTTTTCTAAATAAGGATAGAAATAATTCTGTGTATGTTAAATAAATAGGACACATTCATAAACAGCTATTATAATTTATTTTAGCCCATATGTAAATTTGTATATATATATATCTCTTTATCTACACATACATAAAGTTGGCTAAAGCAGATATAAAGACTATATATGATGATTACATGGAATGAATTATTCCAAGTAGTCATATCTCAAATTCCTAGTCACAATAAATAAATGATCTCATGGTATTTATAAAATCTAAAGGCTGTGTTTTTCATTCTTCTGAGTGTTCTTAAAGAGCACATTAACAAACAAACAAAAACACCTTCTCTCAGGTCCTAGTTAATAACCAAGAAAACAAACAAAATCTACAACAGTTGAAGTCATTTAGGGTTCTGTAACTTCTAAGTAAACAACAATCTATCATTCTCAACATGCCCCCACATCTAGTGGAGATTGCATAAACAAAAATATTATTTATTTCTAAATTTAAAAATGTCTATGCTTAGTAGGGAAGAAATAAAAGTTATTTTTAGTTACAGAAATGTTAATGAGTAAAAGCCAAACAAATTCTGTTTTTTTCTTCTTTCAGGTCTCTGTGGTCAATCAATTGGATATGCAAGTCATTGTTTCTAATGTGCCCCCAACTCTGGTGGAAAAAAAGATAGAAGATCTTACTGAGTAATGGATTTTTGTTTACTTATATATTTATTTTCATACAGTTATAATTTGTATTGGATTAGATCATTTAAATCATTTTAATGTTTAGATTAAACATACATTTTAAAACACTGTCTTAATAATAATTTAGCTTGCTCTTTTTCTGAAATAGGTAGCTTTAATTGAAATATGTGAAGATTCTGAGAGTACTTTCAAATAGGAATGAAAATTAGATGTGAGAAGATATTATTCAGAATGCTTTGATTGATGCATCAATATAACCTCAAATGCAGCATGTAAGAAATAAATCATAACATTAATTATTTGAGTATAAATCATGATTTTTGTGGCCCCAGATTATTCAGATAACTCATTATCTAAGCAACCCAGCTAGTCTAGAGAATGCTATCTCTCAAAGTGGTGTATTTAGATGCCTAAAGCTTATTCTTTCAAAGAAAAAGATGATAAATTTTAAACAATATATATTTTTAATTATTCTAAAATATGTGCCATGCCCCTCTGCCTTTGAACAGTTTACATTGAACATGGCTGAATGTATTATTGCTGACCTAAAGTTGTGATTATTAAGTTGCACGTTCTCTAGTGCTATCAAAGATTATTAAAATGTCTTTACTATCTCACTCTTATCTACCCTAACCTAGCCTGCCATCATTTTATAATTTCTACATTGGTATTTATTTATTATTCTCTCTTCTATTGCCTTCAGGTTGACAGATATCAGTTGTCACTGTTTATCTGCTTCTCTCTAGCAAAATACCTCCCACTTCTGAGTTACTGGAAGAAGCTTCAGATAGATAACTAATCTTTTAGTAATTATATGTCAAGTAAAATATAATAGGCATTGATTAAGGCAAGACCGATTCTCTTATAATAAAGGCATGTGTGTTTAATAATAATGATTTATGGACATTTTATGAAATTTAACCTTTGGCCATCACATAAAATGTCTTATGAATGAGATGATTATCAATATTTATGCATGGAATGTCAATCATGCAGTGTCTTGTTCAGGTGTTCAAAAGTGGTTTATATATGCTTAACCCATATTAAAATAATAGCTGATTACACCAGAAAATTTTAGAATTATACCTATCCCTTAGCTGCTTTAATGTCATCTGTTAGGGGTAGGCTTTCTTTGATTACACTATCCAAAGGAGATGATACTCTTTTCAACCTCTAACTTTTATTTTTTTTCAAAGCATTATTTAGTATTTTTATTATATGCCAATTTTACACTGAATATAAGCTCCATGAGTCTAGGAAATCTATTTTTCACTGATATGATCCCAGTTATATAGAAGGCATTCAATGCATTTTAATGAAAATTTTATACAAGCAAAATCATGATGTCCTTTTCCTTTTGATAAGGTAAAATTTATGAAAACTAAAATAAAGGCAACTTAAAAGTATAATTTCATATCAATTTTTATGATTTATACCTCTTAAGTAGATATGAAGATATGAAAGAAAAATCAGGCAACTTTCAAGTCTTGCAAGAAATGTGTCACTTTGAAAAGAGCTTTGACTTCACATGACATTGGTTTTGAAACACAAACTTGGACAAATAATTTAATTTTTCCCAGACTCAGTTTCACCATTTGATGACAAGAGCTAATAAAAATTATGTTCTAAGACTGTGGTGAGAACTAAATGATATAAGCCATCTCAGACAATGAAAATCATGAACATTTAATGAATAATAAATATTCTACATAAATGAGATTTGTGGTCCAAAGTTAGTAGGGCAAGTCATAGGGAGGCCGGAATCTTACCCTTTCTACTCAAAGAGGATAGTTTAGTAATGAAACTAAGATTATGGATTCAGACAGACAAGTTTGAATCCTATTATTCCTGTATGATCTCTGAGCAACATATTTAATACTTAGAACCACACTTCTTCCTCTTGAATATTGTAATAAGGATGTCAATCCTGTGTTGCTTTTGATAAAATTAAATGTGCATTTGCTAGTGCAGTAAGCATAGCAGGCACATGCCTGATTTCTTTTTGTAGATTTTTAAAAATCTGTGTTAAGTTAGAGATTCTTACACACAAAATTTTCAAATCCCTTTTAGAACAGTTTTATATTCATAACAATATTGAGCAGAAGATACAGAGAATTCCCATATGCTCCCTGCCCCATGGGCACCATATCTTCCTTCACTTACAACATCTTGCACCAGAGTGGTATATTTGCTACAATCAGTGAACCTACAATGAGATGTCATAATCACCCAAAGTTCATGCTTTACATTAGGTTTCACTCCTGGTGCTGTACATTCTGTGGGTCTGACTAATGTGTAATGACATATATCCATTATTATAGTATCATACAGATTAGTTCCGCTGCTCTAAAAATCCTCTGTGCTCCAGCTATTCATCTCCCCCTTCTGCAATAACCCTTGATCTTTTAACTGTCTTCACAGTTTTACCTTTTCCAGAATGTTGGAATCATACAGTATGTAGCCTTTTTGATCTCTCTTTGAAAACTAATTTAGTGGATGAAAGTGGTGGTGATAAGGACTGTTAGACCTGATTCAGCACCATGAAGCTCCAAATACTCACTGTTACTGTCCATGGATGAATAACAAAAATATACACATAACCAAGGTAGACAGCAGAATGCCAATTCATTAATTAAGAATAAGGATGTATTGTTCTGGTGACCAGACTAACCAGCACATCCGTTGCCTATAGACATTCTTAGATGACAAGTCATATCATCATCAAAGTCATTTTCTATATTTCCAATGAGGCATCCCTATCCTTTGAAGTAGAAAACTTGAATTCCATATGGTCATCACTTTTATTTTTTTCTTTAGGAAAATCCATATATGAGGCCAGATCATAATCCAAAGTTTCCTTGGTAAGCATGAAACCAGTACAAACTGGGAAAGTTCATGAAAGGAAAATTTAATGACTTAGTATATCCATTTCACAATGGGGGATAATTTTTGTAAAGGGGGTCAATATCCTTTGCTAGCTAAAAGCACAGTGCCTGGAAAATGGGATGCTTATAGTAAATGTTAGCTGCTATAGTAATGATAACAATTACTCTCCAATCCATTGGAATTCACCTAAATGTCTGTACTGAATTTTTAAAGTTTTTGTTGTTGTTGTTATGTTATGATTATAGAATTAACCAGCACCCTTTTGTAATGAAACATAATTTTTTTTCATTACATTAATGTATTCCAGCAAACTATGCCCCATGCACATGTTCTTGCATATCTGTGTTCTTAGGTATTTTAGACTGACCTTAGGATTTAGCTCTTTGTGAGTCTTGTGTTTCTTCTACTTACAAATTCTTGAGATTAAGGAGTAGGAGAAATAGCTGTGAGGATAAGGTTAGTGAACCTTACTATAAACAACAAATGATTGACAATAATATCCTTAAAAAAAGCTAAGAAATATTTTCATTTTTTGTGTTCTTTCTTTCTCCTTTCCTTCACCATGAAGCTCAAATTAAAAAAAAAGAGGTTTGGGGTTCTAAAATTTAAATCCTTAGGAATCTGCAGAAATGACATTTTCAAAAAGTATAAATTAAAGAATTTAGAAATACTGTGTCACAGTATGAATTGGAATTGATCATTTAAGTCTCAGAGTGGGTCAAATATTTTTCTTACTTTCTAAATACAATATGAAAAACTAATGATAGTAGAACTTTATTGAAGTAGTTATTGCTTTGGTGTGGAAGAGCCTATTTGCATGAAATATTTATAAAGCATCTGAAATATGCCTGTGTAAATTATAGCTCTTGGTATTAAGGTTACAAAACATACTTTAAACATCTAGTCAAGATATTTATTTCTAGGATGAGAATTATAAAGTCTCAAGAATAAAACCTATGAAACAGTAAACAATAAATGCCAACACTTACATATTCTTAAATCAATATGTTAAAGACTTGGTTTTGGGGGGAAAGGTTAAGTTGAAGAGCAAATGAATAAACACATTATCTTTGTTCATT